GTAACCAAGACACTACTCATAGTAATACAATGGACTGTGTAATCAAGGCACTACTCATACTAATACAATGGACTGTGTAACCAAGACACTACTCATAGTAATACAATGGACTGTGTAATCAAGGCACTACTCATACTAATACAATGGACTGTGTAACCAAGACACTACTCATAGTAATACAATGGACTGTGCAACCAAAGCACTACTCATAGTAATGCAATGGACTGTGTAACCAAGGCACTTCTCATAGTAATACAATGGACTGTGTAATCAAGGCACTACTCATACTAATACAATGGACTGTGTAACCAAGACACTACTCATAGTAATACAATGGACTGTGTAATCAAGGCACTACTCATACTAATACAATGGACTGTGTAACCAAGACACTACTCATAGTAATACAATGGACTGTGTAATCAAGGCACTACTCATACTAATACAATGGACTGTGTAACCAAGACACTACTCATAGTAATGCAATGGACTGTGTAACCAAGGCACTTCTCATAGTAATACAATGGACTGTATAACCAAGACACTTCTCATAGTAATACAATGGTCTGTGTAACCAAGACACTACTCATAGTAATACAATGGACTGTGTAATCAAGGCACTACTCATACTAATACAATGGACTGTGTAACCAAGCCACTACTCATAGTAATGCAATGGACTGTGTAACCAAGACACTTCTCATAGTAATACAATGGCCTGTGTAACCAAGACACTACTCATAGTAATACAATGGACTGTGCAACCAAAGCACTACTCATAGTAATACAATGGACTGTGTAACCAAGCCACTACTCATAGTAATGCAATGGACTGTGTAACCAAGACACTTCTCATACTAATACAATGGCCTGTGTAACTCAGCCACTACTCATAGTAATGCAATGGACTGTGTAACCAAGGCACTACTCATAGTAATACAATGGACTGTGTAATCAAGGCACTACTCATAGTAATGCAATAGACTGTGTAACCAAGCCACTACTCATAGTAATGCAATGGACTGTGTAACCAAGGCACTAGTCATAGTAATACAATGGACTGTGTAACCAAGACACTTCTCATAGTAATATATTAGACTGTGTAACCAAGACACTACTCATAGTAATACAATGGACTGTGTAACCAAAACACTACTTATAGTAATACATTGGACTGTGTAACCAAGACACTACTCATAGTAATACAATGGACTGTGTAACCAAGGCACTTCTCATAGTAATACAATGGACTGTTTAATCAAGACACTACTCATAGGATTACATTGGACTGTGTAACCAAGACACTACTCATAGTAATACAATGGACTGTGTAACCAAAACACTACTTATAGTAATACATTGGACTGTGTAACCAAGACACTACTCATAGTAATACAATGGACTGTGTAACCAAGGCACTTCTCATAGTAATACAATGGACTGTGTAACCAAGACACTTCTCATAGTAATACAATGGCCTGTGTAACTCAGCCACTACTCCTATTAATGCAATGGACTGTGTAATCAAGGAACTACTCATAGTAATACAATGGACTGTGTAACCAAGACACTACTCATAGTAATACATTGGACTGTGTAACCAAGACACTACTCATAGTAATACAATGGACTGTGTAACCATGACACTACTCATAGTAATACAATGGACTGTGTAACCAAGACACTACTCTTAGTAATGCAATGGACTGTGTAATCAAGACACTACTCATAGTAATACAATGGACTGTGTAATCAAGGCACTACTCATACTAATACAATGGACTGTGTAACCAAGCCACTACTCATAGTAATGCAATGGACTGTGTAACCAAGACACTACTCATAGTAATACAATAGACTGTGTAACCAAGACACTACTCATAGTAATACAATGGACTGTGTAACCAAGACACTACTCATAGTAATACATTGGACTGTGTAATCAAGACGCAACTCATGGTAATACAATGGCCTGTGTAACCAAGACACTACTCGTAGTAATACAATGGACTGTGTAACTCAGCCACTACTCATAGTAATACAAAGGACTGTGTAACCAAGACACTACTCATAGTAATACAATGGACTGTGTAACCAAGGCACTACTCATAGTAATACAATGAACTGTGTAATCGAGACACTACTCATAGTAATGCAATGGACTGTGTAACCAAGACACTACTCATAGTAATACAATGGACTGTGTAACCATGACACTACTCATAGTAATACAATGGACTGTGTAACCAAGACACTACTCTTAGTAATGCAATGGACTGTGTAATCAAGACGCAACTCGTAGTAATACAATGGCCTGTGTAACCAAGACACTACTCGTAGTAATACAATGGACTGTGTAACTCAGCCACTACTCATAGTAATACAAAGGACTGTGTAACCAAGACACTACTCATAGTAATACAATGGACTGTGTAACCAAGGCACTACTCATAGTAATACAATGAACTGTGTAACCAAGACACTACTCATAGTAATACAATAGACTGTGTAATCGTGACACTACTCATAGTAATGCAATGGACTGTGTAACCAAGACACTACTCATAGTAATACAATGGACTGTGTAACCAAGGCACTACTCATAGTAATACAATGAACTGTGTAACCAAGACACTACTCATAGTAATACAATAGACTGTGTAATCGTGACACTACTCATAGTAATGCAATGGACTGTGTAATCAAGGCACTACTCATAGTAATACAATGGACTGTGTAATCAAGACACTACTCGTAGTAATGCAATGGACTGTGTAACCACGGTGCAACTCGTAGTAATACAATGGACTGTGTAACTAAGGGACTGCTATTTATGTCATTTGAAACTTCACCACATGGATGCATGGCAGAAATTTGGTCGACGATTGAGATAAAATTAGACTGTTATTTTAATCAGAGAAATAATTAGTAATTGAATTTAAGTAATTACCTGGTGTCGTTATACCAGAACTAATATGAGTAACAATTGGCGTCTGTTGTGTAGTCCAATGACCACTGGACTGATAAGATGTTGTTTGTGACGTGGTACTGTCTATTTTCGTCGATGGATTGGTTGTTGGTGTAGTTGGCTCATTCAATTTGGTTGTCATCAGATCACTGGTCGTTGAATCGCTGTCCGTTGATGGATTGGTATTTTTTGTTGTTAGCTCATTGGATTGGCTTGTCGTTGAATCACTCGCGGACGATCCACTAATTGTGACCGTCCACTGATTGGTAGTCGGTGTAGTTGGCTCATTGGATTGGGTTGTCATTGAAACACTTGTTGCCGAACCACTATTTGTTTCAGTCGATGGGTTGGTAGTCAATGTAGTTAGCTCATTGGAGTGGGTTGTCATTGAAACACTCGTTGCCGAACCACGATTTGTGTCAGTCGATGGATTGGTAGTCAATGTAGTTAGCTCATTGGATTGGGTTGTCATTGAATCACTCGCGGACGATCCACCAATTGTGTCCGTCCACTGATTGGTGGTCGGTGTAGTTGGCTCATTGGATTGGGTTGTCATTGAAACACTCGTTGCCGAACCACTATTTGTGCCAGTCGATGGATTGGTAGTCAATGTACTTAGCTCATTGGATTGGGTTGTCATTGAATCGCTCGCGGACGATTCACTAATTGTGTCCGTCCACTGATTGGTAGTCGGTGTAGTTGGCTCATTGGATTGGGTTGTCATTAGATCACTGGTCGTTGAATCACTGTCCGTCGATGGATTAGTATTTGTTTGTTGTTAGCTCATTGGATTGGCTTGTCGTTGAATCACTCGCGGATGATCCACTAACTGTGGATTCTGTTGTGTAACTTGTTGTCGTCAGATTGGTACCGACAAACGGGACATTCGTGGCATCTACTGCTATGGCACTTTCGACTGTAGTACTTATTATTCCCTCGGGAGTGCTAGTGTCTTCTACTGCGGTAGTTTCACTTGTTGAGCTTTTAGGTATCGGCACTGATATTGACGTACTTGTTCTGTCTGTAGGTCCATTCGTGGTTGATTGCTTTACGCTGGTTGCTGGCTTGCTGGTATATTTAACAGTCGATGCAGATGTCGTTGGTGGTTCGGTGAGACGAACACTCGAGCTTGTTGACTCCGTTTGTATTTGAGTTGTGGCATTTTCATTGGAAATACATACTATATAAGACACTTGAGAACAAAACAATGTATAATTAGTATAATTGCTGTCGGTGAGGGCGTATATAGACAATATTAAAAACGGCCATAACTGCCTAAAACGTATAGATATATTGATTCAATTAATTATCAACTGTACGAAACGTACGGATATATCGAAAGATACGATTAACAAATAACAGATTGTTTACATTATATGTGTTGGTCTCAGCGGCAATCTTTTTTTGTTGACCAATATATGCCAGACGATAACAACTTCAGGAGAAACAAAACAGATCAACTATCACCATTGACAGATGTGAGAACCAGGACAATGTATGCGAATTTGGTGATTGGTATAGTGACCCCGCCCTCAGGCTGACCGAGTAACGTACACACTTGTTGGAATCTAACAATGTCACAGTTTGTGTTTCCGTACGTACGCAGACTTCTCGGGAATTTCTTCACTCTCAAAATTTATGAGAAATTTATTTATGTAACGTGGTAAAGCCTGCTTACCATGCCAAACTAGTAGCCACCAACGTATGACGTAAGCAGCGTGCGTTGCCATTATGATTCCTGTATAACGTGATATGATTTATCAAATCTATAAAAAAAATACATAAAATCCACATGTTACCGTATCGAAACATCCTGTGCACGTAGTACTAGAAATGTCGTTGTTTACCGAACCGATAATACTCAGTTGTGTACTACGAGAAAAGAGTTTATTAACTTCCAGTATCAATAAAATCTCAATTGTGAGGATGTTAATCTATATAGGTCTCATGAATTCTCTCTTGTATTTTATGTTTTTTTGTTTTCTTCTTTTTTGAAGCAATCAGAAGTGTAGCATGTGTATAATAAGATTTTTTTTTGATGTCTTTTCTACAGTATATGATTGTATATGGACATTTGAATCTCGCGTGAGTTGTATATGACGTCACGTGTTCAGCGCGTACTCGAGATTTCGTTGCTACCATTGGCTGTTTATCTAATTCAGTAGCTATGTGATCAATACACAAACTGATCATGATCGATTATATCTCAGCTGGTTAATGTACAATGGTTTTTCGTCCACTAAAAGTGGATGTTGATATTCATAACTTTCAAACATGACTATTCCATTGTTGATATATGAACTTGAAGTAGATTAATAATTCACCAACACTGTTTTTTATTAGACGTTTTCAAAAATAGACATACTGCCGAATATTCACACAATCTATCAACTGTATGTTGTTAATGCAGTAAAAAATTATTTGTTAGAATAAATATTGATAGTTTTGGGACAATTTATTTAAAATTTCATGTTAAAAAAGTGAAAAATATATAACAGAATTTCCAAATGAAAAATTGTGAAAATTTACAATATAATATATTGATAAGCACTGAATTAGCGGAGTCTTTTCAACTATCAAATTTAACAAATACCTCTTCTAAAATTGCGACGTATTTTCCTGGAAATCTAGATAAAAAATCATTATAGTTACACCTTGGTTGTGTGGCCCGGATTATTAACATATTTAGAAAATTCCAAAATATCACACCCCCAAGTTAATGTTATTTATAATATCAGATAACACTAACTAAATGTCATGACATGGGATTACCGAACTATTGAGAGGGAAGTACGCTGAGCAGTATTGCGCTTAAAGCGGGGGAGTCGTCACCAGAGTGGCATAGCGTGTCATTGTTTACAAACAAGCATTTACCCATGAGCCTTTGAGTTTTTAGCGTGTGTTGTTAGCGTCGGTTGGAACTCAATTCCCGCGCGTGCGCAGGTGACGACCCTCCCGCTTTAAAGTAGAGCAGGAATCCATCTTTTTACGACGGCACAGTAATATTTTTATTTGTTGGATTTAGAAAATAACGACATGTTCTGTACGCCGTGCTCTGCTCTGTCTCTTGGTATACATACTCGAATGTATACCGCAAACGAAAACATTGATAATCTCCCTTGTGCTGCTATATGGTATAGTTTCTGTGGGGCATTGCTTGTGTCACGAGTATACAGAAAACAAATGTGTTCATATGTCAAGTATAAATATTAGTACTGTTTTACGTATGCTAGTAGAATTATCAGGAGTCACTTGAGTGTTGTTATAAATAGTTATCAAAATTAAATTTCAAAGTCAAATTATTTTTCCGTTGTCTTTCTACTAGAGTGATGAATGATGTGTTTTTTTTCTACTTATCGACTAATCTGCATACACAACTGATATTGATCTTACGTGGTGACCTTTTAACCTATTAGGTTACCTCTTAGTACACAAACCTGACAATGACCTCAACTGCTTACCTGTTAGTGTTTGTGATTGATAATAAAATGAAGTGCTGATCTATCGACATACAAGACTGGTAATGACCACTAAGAGATGTCTTGTGGGCATACCAGACTGGTGATGAACTTAAGTGCTGACCTGCTAGCATATCTGCCAGATAATGGCCTAAATTGTGGATTTGTTATCAAATTGTGCACAGTCACTCCTAGTAGAGTGACTGTGAATTGTGCTATAACTGTCTATGGTTTATGTGATAGCTTTTGACAACCAAGCTCTGTAGTTCCAATAGCCTGTACGTGGAGAGGTAGTAAGCTTTTGCGTTTGTGTGCCTGAATCAGATTTATATAAATCTTGCGTCACACTTTTCTACGTCCTGTGCAATACTGTTCTACATTCTCGTTCTCGTCATAGCATGGGCGATTTTTTCATCTATATTTATCGTCAATATTGAGTGAGTTGGAGATGTTCAATGATTTTTTTCTATGATGACCATAGTAATTCCTGGTTTAGAAAGCTGTATATGTGGTTATTTCATTATACTAAACCAGTTACTGAGCATGTAACCACGGATCATGAGATATTGTACCATGTAGTTTCCATGTTAAAATGTGCTTGAAAGTGTAAGTTATGAAACATCACATGAATCTGTAAAATATATTCTGTTCTTCGTGATTGACCGTTTTTCACATTTTGTCCATTCTAAGTATGAAAACATTATTCTATGTTGTTGTTGTTTTGTGTGTTTTTTTTTTTTTTTTTCGCGACTATAGACCGTTCTACTTGTCAAGCACAATTTCTTCGTGATCATATCATGTAGTACAGGGACTTTACTGTGAATAATTCTGTGTTAAATTTTATGATTACTCTATGATTCCCAATACGTATATCATTTAGTTTCAGTGGACAGATCATAATAACTTTGCTGTTAATTCCGTTTGATGGTGTATATTTATAGGGTGCTTAATGCCAGCAATAAATATTTTATGGTTATTTGTAGAGTATTATTGTGTAATTGCCACTATTTCATTATTTTATTGTGTTTTAATGATGCGTGAGGATCTTTCAGAGTACATATTTTATAAATTTTTATTAAACATTCGTGTTATCATGAATTTCATTTTGATACATTTCCCGTTGTTATCCTCTTTATTTTTCCATAATTGTTAGCCATAGAATCGGCACAAATATGCTCACCAAATATGCAATTCACATTTTTCAGATACATCGAGCAGTAGCAAATATTGCATGTGTAATCACGTGCATCTCGCGGAGCATCTCACTACATTTCCTCACCAATCACCTGCATATCTAAGTTTGTTGAGTGCCTACTCTACAGCTTGACTGGTTACAGGAAATGAGGTTGGGGTCACGTGTTTTCCCACTAAAGTAAATAAATGATTCTTTTAAAAAGTACATTTTCACACACAATCATTGTAAGACTTCGCTCTGAAACTAACTAGAGTCTGATGCGTTTATGCAAATTTACTCTTCCACTCAGGCTGGCAACTATGGGACGAAACAGTGTGCGCGTTTATTTCTCTGTTGTCGTGGGATTAGTCTTTAATCGCACATCGTAGCCGTACTGTCCCAAGTGTAACAGCCACGCGTATGGCCACTAACAGCATATTGTGAACGTGCGATTACTTTAAAAACTAACTTCAGTTAGATTCAGTTAGACACTGCTCGCTTATGAAAACTAAATGTGTTTCATGCCCCTCGTCCTCCTGTATGAAAGTAGAATATTTTTTGGTATGGCATTGTAATAATTTCCGTGTTTACGGAGTATATTACATTACAAGCACGTTGTTAAGATTTATAGAAACGCCAAATTTTCTTTGACTGACCGAATTCAGAATAGTTAGCTGCATCAAGATGAAATGTACAATGACAGCTTAGTTATTATAAGTCAATATTTCCGGGTTTATTAAAAATACGATCACATTTGCCCCCCCCCCTCCAAATAAACGCAATAATATCGACACAGTAAACCCATTTGTTTCATTCTCATAAATATTTATATTCCAATTGCGGTTGAATCCAACAAGTCAATCAACGAGCTCAGTGCACAATGACGTCGTTTGAAATGTTAAAATCATTTTTTCCATCGGCCACCCAGTCCTTTGTCCTTTATTCCTCAAATAAGTTCGAAAACATTGTTACTATCAAAATAGTTCTTATTAAGTACGTCACTTAAAAAGCATTATTACCTGCATTGACACACGTAATCCTAATTGGTTTCAGTTTGTAGTTCAATGTAATCATCAGCGTCCCATGTAGCCGTAAAGTAAGTACACTGCACTGTGCTTTCAAATTGGTGAAATGAACAAAATATATCATCCTTATCATCATTTAAATATTTTGATTATTCCCCCATTTTTGCTGACATGTTATCACATATCGGTTACATTTACATATGATGTCTTAACAAAAATTCTCCAAGTTAGTTTGATACTCACCCGATGATGTGTAGCAGGGAGAATTCTGATGAAGTATTCAAAACACCTGTAGCAGCATTAGTGACTGTCCCCACCTCTTTCATTTGACGTAATAATTTCTCTGCCTTGTAATTAGTGTACCTTCTTTACTTATTTACCTCACCTGAGTGTGGGCGATACGTGTAGGAAAAAAAACAATCTTACCTGCAATTTCTTTCCAATTCAATAATTATCCATGCTTCCTGTTTGCTGGTAGTTGTGGTCTACGTGGCGTGTACGTGTGGGGCAATACTATGGTTTCCTAGGTAACCTCTGTAAACCTGAGATGTCGCCGATTCTATCAATATTGACACAATGTATACTAGTTAATATATTAATTGTTGTCAGCTGACCAAGCAGCCTGAAGTAATAACAATTATTAATATTAATCAATAATAATAATTGTATTTCTGATAAAGATTCCGAAATTAAACCACTTGACGCCACGGTGACGAACTACCTAGCAACAGAGCCGAAGAGGATAAACATCATGAAGCGGTGACAACGGCTTTAAACGTAACTATGATGTCCATACTTTGGTAAAATGTTCAATTCTGAATACGATGCGTCCAGGGCGACATGTGTTTTGTTAGAATGGGAACAAGATAATATATTATACGTAAAATTATTGGGCGAGTTACTGTGTGGAAGTCTGAATTGAACGTCATATCTCATAATGAGGATTAAACCAGGGATGTTGTCACCGGGCCAACAAGGTTCAATAAGTTATTATTCAATTTTTCGTTGGCAAGCAATGTGAAATTTATAACAGATGAATCAAATATGTGGTAATGCAGAAATATATCGTGGTGTATTCTGTGTAGTAACAGACTGTTTCAAGAGTAGAAATACTGAAAAACTATAATGCGCATGCGTCCTGGATTTCATGTACGTACAGGTAATTACAAACTTGTGCTTTCATTGAATAAATACAGCTTCGTTTTCAGTCAAAATGTATTTGTTTTGCTGTAAATTATTTCATTGTTTCACAGATATAATCATAATCATTCATATATTTCGTTGAACATGTCTTAAAATATTATATAAAATAAAAATTTGTCTACGTTGAAATGTTGTGTTGATTTGTTGCTTTTCAGTTAGGATAGCATGACAAAAGTTATCTTATGTCTACTCATTTTTACGATTATGATTTTTACCCTGTCATTAGTGTGTGAATTCGCAACGCCCTCACGCGACTGTGTGGGAACTGTGGTGAAACTGATTGAGCACACTGATAAAGCAAACACGACAACCGCTGCCCGTGACTATTTATAGCTGAGTGGCGCGTGAATCGGATGAGAAACCCGAATTACATGGTGAACTATTGCGACCTATAAACAAACACGGGTTTGGGGTTAAGTCGACTAATAAGAATGTTTAATACAAAGTGACCTTCCGTTTTTCAACAAGAAATGAAAGATGCGTTTACAAAAAAACACGGATATGTGTTACTCACCAAAAGAGACGAGCGTTGAGACATACTAGTACATTCAGGTACGTAGGTGATGGGTATGTTTTGTATTTAGATAGTGTTGGATACACAATGTTGAAATTTCGGTGGTTTTACAACGAGTGGAACATAATAAAATATTAACAATGTTGTATGCTGCTAAAAAAAAGTCGTGAGTTTTAAAAGAAAGACTAAGAACATAATTAATATTATATTTTGAGTAGCAGAGCTAGTTTCACGATTTGAGACCATATTGATAATATTTGTACGTTTAATAATAAATCGCGTATCAATTTAACAATAATCAATAAACTTTATATATTTATGATGAACATGGTTCATGAAGACCATGAATAAATGAAATATACATTACTTCGCAAATGAAAATGATTAATAACATTGAAGAAACTGTTTCACAAATTAATTTCTTTGGCCGCCATTCTACCACCACGGTTTGGTTGAACATACGAATGATTGCATCCCGCAATTCACTTTGATAAAGCCATTTATGTGTTTTTATTTTGGCATTTCCATGGTTACAGTCTTTAAACAATTATTTGTTGTATTATTAGTTAAAATCGTAAAATATGAGTACATGTATTCAACTTAGCCATGTGCATAGTTTTGTTTAAGAAATGTCAACATAATGGTGGAAATAATAAATGAGGGGGCGATATCTGAAATCTAGACCCTCTGAAACGCTATTTCCTGTATTTCCGCCAACATTTATTTGAGGTGGGCGACCGTCTGTTCCCCTCCCGGGTACCGTCGCCACTGGAATGCTAACATAATAATTAGAAATTTTGTTAATGAAAACATGTTTAGCAAATTTGAAGATAAAACAAAAGGTATGCCAATCTTAGGGTAAAAATTTGGTAAAAAGGCAAAATGAGTCAGTATGTTATCATGCATCAACATAGGCATAAAGAGTATGTTAATACCGTGTTTAATAATAAACAACTTATCCACAATGTGGAAACTATCTAAAGATTATATCATCTACTTGGTTGTTATGAAATATTTTAAAATAGCATGTTTAGTTTAGTACGTGTTTACTTGTAAACTCGTTTTTAATCATTACACAAAATGGATATCTCTTGTATGGTAATATATCGTATACGTTTTAATTTGCAAACTATTAAAAGCGACAATAGTTAGTGTGACTTCTGCCTCAAGCAAGTTCATTGTATTTGTGGGGGTTGCCAATGGATACCGTCTCGTCGTCTGGTATGCCATTAGGGATTACAGCGCCCTATTTCCGTCTGTTAAAGTGAACCATGGAAGGTACTAACGATAGTACCTTCCATGAGTGAACAAAGCATAACACTGATACGACATCGCCGTTATTAAAATAACGGATCGTATCAATGCAAATGTTGACCATTTCGTAAATATGGTTCATAAAATTCGAAAAACCGTGATATCATGTTTTGCTGGTCGGCAGTAGTGTCATGGAATAGAGGGACAAAGTTCAAGAGAACTGATAACATTTATTATTATCAGCCCCTATTCTGTATTCAAAGCTCACCCTTTGATCTGCGTAAGTCATCTCGGTGTCCGTGTTTCACACGTTTAAAAACAGTTAGACATGGATAAACATCCTCGGATGTTTCATGAATTTATGTCAAGACACTAGAGCAAGATATTAAGTGATTGTTTTACTTCTTCGTCACGGTTTCCTTCGTTCGCGTAAGAAAACGATAAACATGATGAAATCTTTGCTTCGAAAAAAGAGTCAGCCGTCTGGGTGTTATATGGTGGTGAGTATTTCCTTATCGTGACACGTTATAGCGGGCATATATTCACACTGTGTTTTAGGCGTCTTTGTCATTGGCCATTGCAGTATAACGAGTTGGTATAGGCGTGTGGATTGCAACAGCCCGGTAAACTTCGTCGTCGTTGCCGTACTAGTACTAAGGCAGATGCTACCTACACCTGTCGTGTCGGTTAAATCTATAGTATTAATTTAATAGTCATTGAGACCGTTATTGTCTTTATTTATCGTGAACTTCAAGTTTTTTAATAGTTCGGTTGTATAGAAAATATGAATTTACTTATAAGGAAGTAGAAACGATATACATATTTGTACACGTGACATTTGACCTGCCACCCTACCCACCCCCGTCGATGCAATAGTTTCATCGAAACGTATAAGAGTCCTTTGTTGTATATATATTGATGTGTAAATATGCTCAAGACCTGTGTATAGCTGAATGTGTTTTTTTATTAGATATATAGTTTTAGTTTCCGCTTTTTTGCCACAGCTTTCACTGCCAGTCACGATCGTTATTGTTTGTTTGATTACAGTCCAACACAACGCAGACAACAGATATGAATGAATCCGAGGCTTGCCATGGTGGATACTTAGAGAAGAGGCAGGGCGTTAGGGTAAAGCACGCATTTTATTTAAATACCACTTATCGAGATCACAGAGTCAGACCTACCGACAATGGCTGTTTTGTTCACTGGCTCAACTTGTCTTGTCTATTCAGAATGTATTGAATCAACGTTCATTCATATCGATGTGAGTTTTACGCTGTGTAAGACCACAGGGCTAAATGGGTAGACTAATGCTTCAGAGTTATGTCATTACCCCCCCCCCCTTCCTGTTACATACGCACTCTGGACAATAACCGTACTAGACCTACATACCCCGAGGATTACTCGGACTATAGAGTGCTTTAGTTAGCTCCATTCTCGATCAAACACGTGACCCAACATATTTCACTGATGTGTTACATTATACCTTCTTGGCCTGTGTCGGAAAAGGTTATTAACGAAAACTCCGTCAGCATTGCTACCACATCTGTTATCAATTATTATATATTTATTTGCTACTTTAAACAAAAAAAGATAATACAATGTTGACATGTTTTTTCGTCAGGGTTGTGTAGTCTGAGAGCAATCATTAGTGCTCCACCATGGAACTATAATAGTTCCATGGCTCCACTAATAACACATTTCTTTGGTATCTAAATCTTAAACCTATCTTATAGACCTATTTTCTACGGTATGTATTTATGCAGACTTTCTTACAATCCGGACCGAGTTTCTGCAAGACCGCGCTAACCGTCTTCCCCCTTCGTGTTTGCCCTCAGCAGAACATGTTATTTCAAAGTGTATGTATTACGGTGACGCCATGCGATGTAAGTGCTATTTTTAAAAGTCAACACCGTGCCTTGGTGCTGAGTTCCAGTACACATCCGTTTTCTATACATGCGAAACATGTATCGTAGTATCCATTTACTGTTTGGTTTTTCCCACCCGGGGCCACTGTAATATTTGTGTGCGTGTTTTAAGTGCCCATGAAGCAGGTGTTTTACTGTCCCGCAAAGTATCTGGCCTTGATTGGAGGGGGTTGCAAATAACTGGTGCATGACAATAAGAAGAGTGTAACAAGGAATAAGGTGTGGAGAATATGAGGCAGTAGTACATGGATATGTTTGTAGGTCCATGGTCGGTACAATGTTAGGGACAGACGGAAAAGAGTTGAACAACTTTATTAAATCATACGTGTGTTCTGTGGGAAGGCAAAGACAAAATAGCTAGAAGTACAATGATGGGAGGCGTGGGCCAGGGAGGTCTGGCTATGCCGAACCTGTATATCATGAAAAAACAACAAAGGATCCTTTGGATCAAACATTACTTAGATCCGGACTTTAACCATCCCTGGAAACTCTTTCTAGACAAGCAGCTTGAACCAGTGGGGGGGGGGGAAATGATCTTCAGGTGCAATTATAATACTAAGGTTTTGCCGGTGAAACTGAGTGAATTTGTCACAGAGACCTTAGATATATGGGCACAAGAAATCAAAGTTTATAAACAGGGTAAAGATCAAATCATATGGAATAATGAAAAAATACTGATTGGAGGAAAATCGGTATATATTGAGGATTTTGTTCGAAATGGAATAATGAAAGTATCTGTAGTATCTTTTTGACGCAAATGGTTTGATACCGTGGCAGTCAATAGCACAGGAGGAATTTACCCTAATACAT